ACACCTGAAGAAGTCATTTGGCCAGTTCTTTATTATACCCACTTACTCCCTTGATACGAAAGCGATGCGATAAAGTGAACAGGAACAGTCTGACCTGTAGTTCATTTTCAAGATCTCCTTTGTAGTGTTCAGCGCAGATCACTCGCACTCGCTTACAATACGTGTTGTTTAATTTGTTGTAAGCTTCACAGAAAAGATTGTCTGGATTAAACGAAGCCTGAAACGGATCACGATCTACGATTTAAGAACTCAGCTCATGTTTTGAACAACCCAGGGAATTTAAAGAAGCCCTCAACCATGACCAAGGATGGGATTATGGCAAATAAAATTAGACTCGGTTACACCAGTCCGGGCACTAGCAATGGAAAATGCAACGTTTTCCGGCAATCAACGGAAGGAAAGCAACGAAACGGCAAGTGGAAACTTTTGACTAGCTAATACTGTATGGAATCTAATGCATTTCAGTTCAGTACATCTTTGTTGTCCTCTAACAAGTCACTGAAATGGTGTTAATTCTTAAGCGCTACCCTATTGTAGAAAACATTATATGGGGAGGTTACTTCCCAAGAAACAGAGCTACGCTCGCTGTACAAACATTTGCCAGTTAAGGATAAAGTTCGGGCATCGTTTGCGATTTCCTTGAGGTTCGCTAGCAGCTCGAGTGTGTAGAGTTTTTGATCGTGAGATCGCAAAATCGCACGATCGACATATTCGAGCTGCAAGTGAACTGCAAGCAAGCCGCAAAGAATGACCGTGACCTAGGAAGCTCCCACAAGCTTAATTTCCATCTTTGCACAGCGGTCTATATTACAAAGATTAGTTTGTTGAAAGAAGAAAATCATCAAATTTGTCTTAAATGGAACTACTGTAACAAAAAACTTACAGGAGTAGCAGTCCCGAAAGATGTTTGCTTCTCTGAGCGCACAAAGCAACGTTCTACATGCTTTGGCAGCTGACGCCCATTTGTTTCCATACCACATACGGTACAGCTCGCCATCTTAATAATAGAGCTAATGTGAAAATTTGATGAAAACAAAGTGAGAAATTTTGAGAAGGAAAAAAACTCACAAAGTCAACATCCCCTGCTTCATCGTAGCTCACTGATGTCGTCGACTTCATTGCCTTCAAACAAAGGATATGCTTATCACCTTGAAAACGAAGAAGATGGAGATGAGCCTATGCAGAGCGCTTACCGCCACATATCTTTGAATCGCTCGGACATATCCGAGCATCGTTTCCGTTTGCACCTGGATCTTCCCAATCTTCTGATCGATCGCGCGCAACTCCTCCATTGCATGCACCTGAGTAGCCCTCATTGAGTAAATGACCTGATAAAAAAGTAAGAAAATAACGGCAGCCACCCACCTCAGACTGCGGCTGCACTCTGTAGTAGTCCTCGACTTTCTTGGGAAGCAAAGTGAGAAGTCGTATCTAAAAATAGCATCAAACGAAGTGACAAAAATAAAGTTTGCAACATTACAGCAACCGAACGCCAGCGAAATAATGAAAGAATGCTGCTGCCAAAAATTCAGTTATTCTACTTATAGCAAGCAATGAAGAATTTATAGCAAACAGTGAAGTTTCAAGGAACTAAAGATGCTCCACGCAGAGAAAGTTTCTATCATGTGAATTCGCATTCGCTCTACCAGAGACCTACCACTTCCAGCTCACTTTTCATGGGCTCTCGGGCAAGTCGGCCATATGGTCCAGTGAAGAAGCAAAAGTTCGAATGCCTCTGGGAAAATTCGATCCAGTGCCCCTACCTAGTGATATTTGATTCCTCTTGTCACTTGGCAAGCCAGAAGTTGTCTAGTACTGCGGCCGGTAACCTCACCACCTTCGTTTTGCTGACGACATCGTTCTTATAACGCCGAACATCGAGCAAGCGGAGCGAATGCTGGCTGATTTCGACTGCGCCTGTGGTAAGGTCGGTCTACAGCTGAACCTAACGAAGACGATGTTTATGAGAAACGGATTGGTTCCTGATGCCCCATTCACGCTCAACGGAACGAACATCACCGAATGCTCCAGCTACGTGTACCTAGGTCGGGAAATCAATATGATGAACGATCTAGCTCCAGAGCTGAGCAGGAGGAAACGAGCGGCTTGGGGAGCGTATAAGAACATCGAGGGAGTAGTGAAGAAGACGAAGAACATCCGGCTCCGTGCCCACCTCTTCGATTCCGCTGTCCTTCCTGCCCTAACCTACGCCTCAGAGACTTGGACTCTGCGCAGGCAGGACGAGCATGCGGTCAGCGTTATCCAACGCGCTGGAAGATGCTTGGAGTAACCTATACACGCAAGTGCAGAGGGGAATCCGGAGTGCCGAACTACGCCAACGATCGAAGATCAGGGACGCTGCCGTTTTCGCCAAGGAATCGAAGATAAGGTGGGCCGGACACGTCATGCGATTTTGCGATGACCGTTGGACCAGAGCGGTTACCGACTGGATCCCTCGGGACGTCAAACGAACACCTGGGTCAACCTCTTCACGAAGCTCATACGAAGGAATTACGAGGACCGTGTCCCTCGAGCGAGCCCACTGACAACTTTTCAGCGCAGGGGGAATAGAGACGTTGCCGGTGCCCGCTCAAGCAAATCGACGATCAAATGGACAACAGGTGTGATACAGGAGAACTTGCGAAATTATGATTCCCAGAGCCTCACCTGGATTTGTGGGTTATACTGTATGGAAAAGTAACCAAAGTTAACGAAAATAAATAGGCTCAGGACGAGCCGAGAATTTCTTTGGAAGGCACCTGGCCAGTTCAGGTTGGTCTCAGTCAGTGCAATGGAGCTACACCCATGGGCCCATGGATTTCCTATATTACATTTTACTTCCCATATTATGCTTTATGTGGCAACGAATATGATAAACTCAGCACTCTAACCTTGCGCCAATTTGATTCCACATTCATCGCTGCAATACTTACTGCCATCCCGAGCCACTTTCACACATTCTGGTTCGATGCATTGACGTGGACCAGGCTAAAATAATTAACCAACTTGGGTTTCACAGAAATCGTATAATGCGAACGCATAATCCAAAGCGAACTGAATTTCACTATCTCGTCGAGAGATTACATATCACTCCAACATGATAACCAATGCTTGTTTTCTTTACTTACTTTAGACCATAGAGACAGCTATGTTTTTAACAATCAAACAGCACTTACCTTCACAGGAGCCTCATGCTTCCGTCGCGTCTGAACACGAGCAGTGCCTCGACGTGGTGCTGAAGTAACAAGTATAAAATAGTGGGGTGCTATATAAGTAGGGTGGGCACGCCACATTTTTTAACAGAAATGTATGTAAGTGGGACTGATGCCCGCTACTGTACGAGGTATGGTTCACTAACAAGAAGCGACTTTTCGCGTTAGGCAGTGCGAAATCATTTGGGACTCAGAACCCAAGTTCCCAAACAGAGTCAACCCTGCGTTGCGCAGTTCGCAACGGCACGTTGAGAGATCCTCAACGCACGCTGTATGGGCGGAGACGCAGACGGCTCGAGCATGCGAGTGTGAATGTTCGCGCGAGAGAACGTGTCTAATCGGGCGAAACTGCGCAACGTGGCCGTTGAGAACTGCGCAACGCAGGGTTGACTCTG